CTATCCATGGAAGGCTTGGATAGGCCTCTTGGTGTTCCTCCCGTGCCCCAGATCGTACTAAACCTACCTCAAGATGAAAACTTGTTGCGAACTCCTGACGCCACGGAGTCTCCCGCTTTACAAGTGCAAATCCACCACAGTCTCCAGCTTCACCATCACAACCAAGCTCACAACTGCCCCTGGATTCATTACCGCCCCCGAGTCCATCACAGTTTCCATCGGATTCTTCAAATTCATCATCCACTTCCGATCCTCCATCACCTCCAGACTCACCGGCTCTGTCAGAACAATCAGAACCTCTCTGTGGAAACAGTATGGGACCTCATCCCAAGCTCCCGGGCAAGGTCCCTTGGCCAAAGATGGCAAGGACAAATACATTGCCACAGGAATCGACTTTGGGACAACATAAAGTATCCCGAGATATGGGCCCCGTTGTCTTCCCGTGATTGCCTAGCTAATTCGATTCTCAGTTATTCCGGCGTCTCGTGGGCGTGCTCCTTCGATCCGGAAAACATCCAGCAAGTCAAAGGATGGCCGTCGGTGATCGCGAGGTCACTAGACGAAGTACATATACCGACACAAGTTGACCTCAAATCGAAAAAAATGGGGTTATCTAGTTCCTAAAGATAGCGACCCAATCCGGTGGTTCGAGCTACTGCTTCTTGACGAGTTTGATATCAAGGAAGATGTCCGCAAATCATCTTACCTTACGAGTGCAAGGGAAACACTGCAATATCATCGCCAATATGGGGGCGATGGCATTGTCGACCTAATTGCTCGGTTTCTGAAAGAGCTGTGGGACCATTCTCTCACAGACATCGGGAAGCAAGTTGACGTTGAAAAGTTACCGCTCAAGGTAGCCCTCACAGTACCAGCAATATGGCCCAACTATGCGCGTACCAGACTGAAGGATGCAGCGAAAAAAAAGCAGGCATTGAGAAACCTAGGCTAATGGGGAATACGAAGCTTATTCTGGTCGAAGAGCCTGAGGCAGCAGCCCTCTGCACGCTTCACGAACGGCGAGAGTACCCCGAGATTGAAGCTGGTGAGACTTTTATCGTCTGTGATTGTGGAGGCGGGACGGTGGTAGGTACCCAGCTGATCTAATCCCGACGCTCAGCTCATAACATGCCAAGTTAATCACAGGACATCATTAGTTATCAAGTTAAATCTACCGAGCCTTTCCAAATCGAAGAAGCGGTTAGGGGAGATGGTAAGATTCGTGCGATCATTCTCCTCCACTGTTTAAACCACTTAAATCTCACTTAATAGGTAAGTTCTGTGGCGCATTTCTTGCGGACAGTGCTTTTGAGAGATGGATAAGGATTAAGTCCGGTCTCAGATTCGATAAGGTCGAGCAGAAGGACTTTCGTGCCTTTGTCCAAGATGAGTGGGAGTATACAACGAAGCGCGCGTTCAGCGGTAACGGGAATCAATCCTCCTTTGCCATCAGACCACACTCTAAAGCTATGAACAGCTCGAGGTTCAGAAAAAAAGTCGATAACTTCGATATTTCCAGGTCAGTGTCGTTATGCAGCTCGATGAAATTACAGTGCAGTTATTGATACATGCAAAAGAGATACCATCAGGGAATTCTTCTCCAGATCATACAATGGGACAAGGCAGCTCGTCTCGGGACAGCACGACAGCATTGTGAAGAATTACGATAAGCCGCCAAAGGTGCTGTAATCACTGTGCTGAAGGGCGCTGACGATACCATCTCTTCCATGCCTGCGGTTGTTTCCAGAGTTTCCAGGTTTAGATACGGAATTCAATTCGGACATGTGCCCGGCACGTTGATAAGCATTGATCAGCCACCAGATGATCGCAAAACAGACTTCTATTATTTTGATCCAGATGGCAGAGAGCTGGTTCGCAGGCTAACTTGGTATCTCAAAAAGGTATGTGTGCCAAACACCATCTTTAACAGAGTTCTCTGTCTCTCGAATGGTCGCTAACAATGGCATTTCAGGACGAGACGATTGATAACAGAGATCCAGTAACACACGAATTCTCCCGATGGCTTTAACGTCATGAGCTGTCTGATATCAAAACGACTGTGTATACCAGTCATGAAAACCCACTACCCTTTCGGAAGAATGGCTCAGTTCATGTCATGTGTGAGATTCGCATGGTTGCCCTTGTTTCATAGGAAAACTTGGAGTGGTGTATTAGTCCTTCTGGGCAGGAGTATCGAAGGGTGCATGGAGTCCTAAACGATGAGATTCAAAGGTGAACCCAAGTGGTCCTTACAGATTGGGCGAATCAAGGTAGAACGAGATGTCAAGGTTCGCTACGAAGGAGTCTGATACCGCATATTGTCTGGTAAGGCGAGCAGGGGATAGACGCTCACACAGCGCAAGGTCAGTTCTCTTATCCGCTTGGTTTTAGCGGACATTACTGCATTAAGGCCAACTTATGATGAGTCAAAAACCGGATACAAGTCCAAACATACCTAATTGATGGCATATAAGCAACGTACCCTAGGTAGGTTCTGGGATTGCGTTAACTAGAGGTACCTCTCAGTCGTTTAGAGTATTGTTCAACAGCCCAAGTCATCATACATAGGGACCTTATGCTTGTAAACTGTAAAATTAGGTAGTTTAGCTATTTGGAATCAGTTGCATATCCGGGCATATCTAAGGTAGAGGTATGTTTGTATGCTAAGACCCACGGTCATAGATACTCATACATGTTTGATTGAAGAGGGCGCACAAGAGACAACTCAGAAGGGAAGAGGTTGACACTGTGGCTTGTGATACACAGATAAGCCGAACACACTTTACAACTGGGGATACCCACAGCCTTAAGAAGTAAACCACTGGATTGGCTGCGTTCGATTTGTTAAGCCCCATTCGGTAAGTGGTTGTACTGGGGCTCCGACTGTTGCCCGACCTTCAAATGCATCATACATTCACCAAAATCCATCACACCGCGTTAAGCTTTTTGCGCATTAATTTGTGCGCAGTTGCCATTCTCCTTGTTCGACAGAAAGATGGCTCAGTTAAACTGAACCAAAGGACTTATTCGACTTCCATATGGTACCTCTACTCAACATACACCATGAGTGATTACCCCCCGGGCACCGCTGTTTCAGACTGGGGCGTTGCCCAAGGAGGCGAAGACGAAAGCCGCCTTGTTCTCAACGCTCCATATGCATCTCCAGACCAACTTCACCAAGGCCAGCATGGCCACCATCAAGCACATAGCGCAGCTATGCACCATTCGCACCCGAGTGTTGATACCAGTTGTCAGCAAGATAGCCCAAACGACGACGACTATTGTCAGAGTTCCCTCAATGCATTGCCTCCAGCTCCTTCCCATCCTGTTCCCATCCGCATGCAACAGAGGACTGTCCGAAGGCAGTCAGACCGCTCGGAAAGAGCCTCAAGCGTTCCAAGTCATAGAAACGGCCTTTCCTCCAATGTTTCTTCGATCCTGGGGAAATTTGGGAACCCCTTCACCAACGACATGCAACAACAGCAACGACAGCACCTACTTTGCCCCCTTCTCAGCTTTTCCTTCGGACCCGCCAGCCTGTCCGATAGCACCGCAACGGATCCAAGAGTTCCATTGGCTGAGGGACACACACATGGTTGACTATCGATAATTGTGGCGTAACCATGTTGCTGTTTGATTGGGATTGCGGCGACGGACCGGGCGCCTTGAAAAGAGCCGAATGAACACGGAAAACGCACTGAAGATGAGGGATCTCACCTCAACTGGGAGTTGCCGTCAACGTCCCTGCCACCTGGCTGGAATCTGCGCGCCTAAGATTAATAGCAGCTGTCAAATCAGGGCTTCTCAGTCATAGGCTCTTTAGCCAGACATCTGTTGGGTTGTTTGAAGAATCCGACGCGGTGGCGACGTACTCACTCTACGAAAGCCGGCTGTTCCCAGAGGTTGAAGTCGGCGAGACTTTTATAGTATGCGACTGCGGCGGCGTGACGGTAGTGAGTCTTTCCCTTTCCAATAATGGGAACCCATGTTTTACTTCACTAGCTACCTAGGGACATGGGCATGAAGAAGCACACTGACGCAATTCATCTTGATAGGACATATCGGGGTATGTCAAGTCACCCGTGGGGGGTTTCTTGTCAAGCTTAGTTTCGTTAACTGGAACAAACGCAAACTCTCTCCCGAGAGGACACCCGACAGCAAATCTCCAGACGAAGTCAAGCATGAAGGGGAACATGTCATTAAGCGAGCATTCAGCGGGAGGGACACTCATCACGCTGCCCTTTCCCACTCACCTGTTAACAGTCAGGGACTTGAGGACGACTTTGAAATCCCCCAGTCTTTGCTCGCGTAAGTCTCGGGAATTTTTCAATATTCAGCTATCCAGTGGGTGGTAATTTTAATTCAGCTGTCAGCTAACGCTGCTCTCCCCAAGATGGTCGGCGGTGGTCACCGGAGCGGTCGTCATGCTTTTAAGCGCCTGTGGTGGTGCAATCTTCGACGACATCATCGAGATAGAAAAAGGCTCGGAGCAGTATTCAGACACCCAGGAGGGTCTTCAACATACAACTGGTCCCACCGCTTGTTCCGTGACAGAGCTTTGTACGGGCGAAGTTCGGGCATCGACGTCACAAAACTCTGCATTGACTCCTGAAGAAACCGAACAAGGAAGCCCTTCTGCATCACGCCCATGGACTTCATTATGGCAATTTTCATTAGGGAAACTGGGGATATTCCGGATCTGCTCCCCTGCACCGTCAAGCCAGTTGACTGATGAGAGTATTGCGATTCCCACATTCAGTATCCAAATCCATCGACCAGAGAAGCGAGTGGACTCGGGACAGAGTCGCCGTAGCCCATTGGGACAACAATCGAGATTATTACTAGCGTCACTGGGAGAAACCCAACCTTTTATTGTCAACGTCACTGGAAATCCCCAAACATCTCCTTCCCCACTAAGACACTCACTTGACGGGACCACCGCGGTGAGCCATTCGGTCATTACCGACAAGACAAGCCATGACCGGGCCAATTCCTTCAACATGTTCACTTCTCCCACTCCTTGCTCCAACAACCTTTGCTTTAAGTCTCAAAAGTACCTGTTGAAGGAGGTTTCCCTCCTACGAGAGCAAAACGAGGAGCAACATGAACAGACCAAAGGTATGGTACAGCAGAGAAAAAGAGAAGTAGAGGATCGTCACAGTTCCTCGGTAAATCCCAGAAGCCACGATGACCTCAAAGAGGAAATTGCACAACTCAAAGACACCATCGAGAACTTGGAGCAAGAAGCTACCCCGAACGGTCCAAGCATGAGATACATCATGAAGGAGGATGTAAGGTTGGAGACCGAGCTGATGAGCCGGGTCCGCGAGAACGAATCGCTCGGTGAACGACTGGGGGTAACGAAGGGAAAGAGCAAGATGCACACTGGGCAAGAAGGTCAACCCTCGTTGGAAGAATATACACATAGAGGTAATGGGACAAGAAACCTGCCAGAACAATTCGGGGACTCGGCCAGTCAGCCCAAGCGCATTCCGAATACTCAAGCCGTCTAGCCGGAAAAGCGCGCCCAAGGACCCTCCATGGAAACCACCACGGTCATTACCAACGGAATGAAGGAAGCCAAATTCATTAATGGATGGGATTCGCTCTGTGCGGACATGCGAAGATGGAGCGAAAAGAGGGTGGTGATTAGGGGGTAGGGGGTTCTCTTCAACATACAACTGACACTACCTGCTACCTACGTATTCAGCAAAGCATCCCTCTACGCAAAGCACCCTCGTTTGCATCCCGAATGTGATTAACACATGTCGCACGACTTCACACTTGAGTCCAGAGAAACCGCCTGCTCCTGCGCTACGCCATGTTTCACATGCCAAAACCACGTTGGCAAATAGATAAATATGCCGCCGCGATCATGGTCATATCGCATTACGATATTAATTTATCACCTCTGGCCTTCGTTCGGTAAAACAAAGGAGCAGACGAATGGATCCAAAATAAAAAGAAATAAAAAAAGTGTGGTCCGTACCGTACTCGAACCGATATCTTCCCTCAAGCCGCAGCCGAAGTGTATTTCCACTCCAGGAATGTTGCTCATTACACCAACGAATCACGGGAAGGTAGCCTGGAAAGAACCCTTAAATACTCCCAGGGGAGTTGGGACGACGCAGGGTGCGCATAAGGTTGGAGGCCCGCAGGAGCGGCAGGCAGAAGAATCCAGCGCAACCTGGAAGAGCAGCGGGCAGGCACCATATTTCGCACCTCAAAGCCATATTGGAAGATGATGATGGCAGGTAGTCACATCACGATACTTGAAAAAGGTGCCTGTGACCAACAAGCTCCTTAGCCAGCAAAAACGATAAAGAAAAAAAAAGGAAATGGAAATGAAAATGGAAAGAAGTGTGGTCCGTACCAAACTCGAACCGATATTTTCCTAAAGGGCGTACCCGAAGTGAATTTTGACTCCAGGAATGTTGCTCATTACACCAACGAACCACGGGAGGGTAGCCAGGAGAGTAACTAGGAAAGTAAACTTGATATACCCGCGTGCAAGTTCGGACGACGCGGGGTACTTGCGCAGAACAAATGAGTGTCAGGCAACCTGAGAGCGACAGGCAGGCAGAAGAAGCGGAAGGCAGGCACCATGAGATCACTTTGAACAAAGAGTTCGATCCAACGATGATCTGACGACAGAAAACTGGGCGAGCGTATACAGCCAAACAAGACGTCACATGTGCTCTTTGAGAACGGTTACCTCCATAGGAACGTCCTGATTATGTCATTCCGAACGGTATGTGCTGTTGCAGACACCTCGAGACAAGCGATTGACAGTGCACTGCATTGCTGATCGCGGCTGAACTTTATCTCGACCACCACTTATTTCTATCTCAGTCACATTGGGCGAAAAAGAGGCGCGAAGGTCTGTTTCCCAATGCTTCGGAAAGCATCACGGGGTTGAATGTGGACGGCCAAGGCGTCAAACCAAGGCTCACTTGCTAATATCCACGAATTGCGAGGCACCCACCACGCCCTGATTCCTGAGAGCACTTCAAAACACAACACGAGGGCTTTGTACTCGAATTATGTGTATCACGCAAACCTAAGCCATCCTTCAAAGTTCAAGGAGTTGTTTAACATGTGACAACATCCCTCAAACCTTGGAAGCAAATGCTTCTTGAAGAGACACTGCTCATGCCCATGCGGCGATCCGTCCGTCAGCATTTATGGTAAACGACCAGAGATCTGTCGTGCGAACCGCTTCAGTCACAGTAGCACCACCACGATATTTGCGTGAAGAGTTAACCCTAGAGGACAACAACGTGGCATTCATGCAAGTGCTGCAACCGAGGTCGAACAAGATGTGTTAATATAGTGAATAGATCAATCAAAGGAAAGTATTACCACATGCTCCGTCAGTAAGGCAACTACCCGGATCCCGGAAGCGAGGTCACACTGCTTTATGTGAGAGTTCTTGCCCCGAGTAAGGTAGGTAGTAACACGACATGTGATTCACGATTCGAGTACGTATCTTTCCAAGACCGGCGTCAGTTGCAATGCTGTACATGTTCTGTAGATTGACCACATCAGCAAGCACGTTACAGAGAAGGAAGTAAGTAAGACACAAAAAAGAATCGCACACTTGGTTTTCCTAGCTAGCAGCACACCTAGTTATTTAGCTAGCAATGGTTTAGTTTGGTATACTTTGCCAAAACACCATGAAAACACCCTCGCTTGACCACCGATAGAAATCCAAGAGACCATGGTAAAAATTGGGTCCTGAGAAACATAAAATAGCGAGAAAGAAGGGAAGCAGCATCAGTGGCTTAGAACCAGATATTGGCTGGTTGTAGATGATAATTCGAAGGGTCAAATAACGAAAACAAAAACCAAAAAAAAGGAAAAAAAAAAGAAAAAGTTCTAATAGAAATGATAATGACGGAAACGACCCAAAGCCTTAAGCATGTAAGCGATGAACACTCGCGTAAAGACTGTGTGGCCTATGACCCATCTCATCACCACCCATCTAACTCATTGCGAACTTTCCCTCCGATGACCCTTCTGGTGCCCGCCACCACTCGTAGCTTCACTGTGCCAATGGCGGTGGTTATGATGGTCATGATGGTGGTGGGGATGGTTGTGGTGAATCTGCGGCTTCGATAGCTGTGGCATTGGTGCCCCTTGTCTCTGCACGCCAGGGAGGCCGAATCCCGGTGGTGGTGGTGGTGGTGGTGGCGGGGGAATATGTTGTTGCATCCTCATTGATGGCATTGACATTGATGACGGCGGCAAAGGTGGAACTGGAGGTGGCGGTGGTAAAATAGGACCCGATGTACTCCCAAGATAGTAGCCGGTTTTTGGTTGTACTTGGAGCATCGA